TTCCAAATTTCAGTTTATCTTGGTGTTACGCAGAGAGTGAAATGTTTCTTTTTTCATCTTTACTTAAATATAGAGAATTTGAAGTTTGAGAGTCAAGCTGTCAAAAATTTTACATTTGCAGGAGGCTGACACAAAACTGGAACTATTACCTAAATTTAAAATTGTGTGTTCAAAAAAGTCTCACTATTCTGATTGACTTTAATAGGAAAACAGAAGTATAAATAAAGTATAAAATTGGGAAGAGGAATTGGGGACAAAAAGTTTCAGTTTCTTATAAAGTTTGAAAACCAACACTAAGGAAAGGCAATGTGGCTCCATCTCCCAAGATAAGATGGTGGGAGTCCTCATCCTGAAAAAGTGTGTTCCTGAAGAGGGATATTCTCCCTTGGTCACCTGGGGAGGGGTGGCTGTGGGCAGGGGTGGGAGAAGGAACCCAAGGACTGAGTCAAATGGGCTGTCAATTCCAGAAACTGGAAGAATCCAAGGGGGCTTACTGGGATAGTGCTTCTTTAAGTGCAAAATGCTTACAGAAAACTGAATCATCATATTGTGAGAAATTGATTCTTTTTACCATCTCAAATCCTTTTGATTAGATCAAGAATAAAGGACTTTTGCTTCTGTCCATGAATTAAGTGCTATGGGAACTGCCCTTAGCACCTGCTGTAGTAAACAATGGAAGAGTGGATATAATATATGAAAGAACAGTTTTCAGACATCGGACAACAGGTAGCACAGGATTTTAACGCCCAAAAGAAGGGAAACAAGGGAAGGTCTACAAGTGCCCCGGTTTACTGCCTGGAGGCAGTATCCAGGCTACAACCCAGGGAAGGGGAACCAAATAGACTCCATGAGTTGCAGAGAGGATCAAAGTTCAGGGAGGCCATGGTGGGTGAGCTGTAAGGCAGAGTGCTGGCCAGGAGGGAGCTGCATGGAGTAAGAGCTTAGAGCCCTGCTGCTATAGAGGCCCTTAAGTCTTGGTTGGAATATGAATCTGCACATGCATGAGAGGGAACTCTTCAAGGAAAGAATCACCTGGAGTTCAGACAGGGCTGTGGATGGTTTCCACCTGTCAGAGTGGAAAGACCTCATGATATATAGGCATTGGATAGAAATTTCAGAATGCCTTAACAGTGGGACAAAATTAGCTCTAAAGGCTGCATTAGATCTGCCCTAGGAAAGCCTGAAAACAAGAGTTGAAAGGATCAAACTGATTATGAGTTAACATAACTGCATGCCAGAACAGTCCACTGCCATTTAAAGGAATGCCATGGAATCCATCACCCAACAATGTAAATTTTACAATGCTTGCATCCAATAAAAAATTATCAGACATGTGAAGAAGCCAAAAGATAAGACCCATCCATAATCAGGAAAGAAAATTCAATCAACAGAACACTCCAGGAATAGCAAAGATGGAATACTATAGTAGAAAAGGATCTTAACTACTATAGTCTTAAAATATATTCACGTATATAAAGCAGAGGCAAAGTACAGCCTGTGGGCCAAAGTTGGCTCACTGCCTGTGTGTGTAAATAAAGCTTTATTAGAACACAGCCAGCTCGTTCATTTATGTTTTGTCTACTGCTGCTTGCATGCTACAATGGCAAAGTTGAGTACTTATGACAAAGATTATAAGGCCTGAAAAGCCTAAAATATGTATTATCTGGTTCTTCACATCAAAAGTTTGTTGACCTCTGATGTAAAGGAAAACATGGACATGAGGAGTGAAATGGAAGATATTTTTAAAAGACCCAAATAAAACATCTAAAGATGGGATATACAGAATTTGAAAAGTACACTGGATGAAATTAACACGAAGGTGAATGTGACCTAGTCCGTTTTCAAAGAAGCGTCTCATCTGGTGGGGGCGGGAGGGGGGCTGACTTCTTTGTCAGTGGATGGGTGTGAAGAAGGGAAGAAAGGGAATGTAGCTGGGTTAATAAAACAACAGTTTACAATTCCAAATTCCTGGAATGTACCAGGTTAAAATTGCTTGCCGAGGGTTGATGGTAATTGAAGTGCCTTGCCTGGTTCCGGAGGTGGGCAGCAGGCGTATGGAGTTGGTATTACTCCCCATCCAGCTATATCCCAGTGGCATGACTGATGATGGAAGCCTTGGTTTCAGCTTTTTGATAACACAAGCTCTAGTTACACAAGCTCACACCATTTTAATCAGTTACACACTTTGTTATCTGACTTGGGGCAACAATTCAGAGCTAAGCCACTCTCGGAAATATTTTCTTTTTAAAGGTCATCACTGACTGAAACCACTAATCGCCAGCATGTGTCTAATTTCAGACCATCTCCATAAATGGGATAAGAGGTTTATTGTCAATATTTATTTATGTAGCACTTACTATGATCCAGGTACTAGACTAAGAGTTCTACTTGGATTTTATTCATTATAGTGCTTTGAACTCTCCTCTTCCTCCTTTCTGATTGAAGAAACTAAGTAACTTGGACAAGGTCACATGGCTACTACATCAAGATTCAAACTCAGGCAGTGTGATGCCAAGACTCACCTTCTGGACTGCTCTATGGCCTCCTTTGAAAAGCGTCTCTTCTAATGCCTGACAACACAGCAGCAATTAATACGAGACGGCTATTAATGGATCCTAGATATTAATAGGACACTAGACTTTGTGAAAAGTTGATTCTTTTTCTATTAGGGAACAAGATAGCTGATGAAAACACAAAACCAGATGCGGAAATTAAACTTTTTCATATATAATAAAACTCCATTTGCTCCTTGGCAACTACATTTATTTAGAATTTTTGGAAATAGCTTATATATACAAACTTTCAGCAGTTTTATCTTTCCTGGTTTACTTCCCTCTCATGCTAACTCTAATAAATGGTATCATTACTATACTTAAATGGCCCAAATGATGAGGCTAAAACAATATATGTGGCTATGAGAGAACTACTCCTTTTACAAATTCCCGTCTTCATATCCTCTAAGCTTGGTAAGTTCTGATGCAAAAAAAAAAAAAAATGTTTTGGGGAAGGCAGTTATTTACTAGTCATGCAAGCAGAGACAGAACCAGTTATGAGAAGCAATGGTTGTATCAATTTACTGCAGCAAGGAGTATAAAGCACCACAATTCCTTTATCAAGAGACTTGTTGTAGCATGTCCTAAAAGGATAATGTGTAAAGAAACAAAACAATGATATATTACTTCAAAATGTGTATTTAATGGCCATTCCATCAAAATCAAGCAGAATCACATTTCAAAAGTATATATATATAACATATGTATGTATTGTTTTTTTAAGGTGCATTTTCAAGTTTTATTTGGGCTTTATTTCTTCTTGGCTGCTTGAGGTGTTCTTGCAGATACAATTAACAGAGGACGTTCTGAGGCTGATAGGTTCTCATGCGTTGAAAAATAATTTCTAACAACACTGCGTATCTTGGGATACATTAGACATTTCAAAAGCCATGTGTAAATTCAGAAAACTTAATACCAGTAATGAAAGACATTTTCAACATGAAATTTAGGCACTCTATACTTTGGAATAGCCATAAAATATTCCAACAAGAGTTAATGCACTTTGTGATTACATCTACTGAAAGACAGTTCTCAATTAAAATCTATGCTTATTAAATAACATTTTAAATTGGAACCCATTACATTTTGATGATTATTGTGAACCATTTGCAGCATATTGTGTTTTAGTTAAATAATGCCACACTATTTCTATTGCCCATTCTGGTACTCATCTTTTGTGGTGCATTTTTTCACAGAAGAACCTATAACATTCATTGATAAGCATCTCCCCCCCTTTTCCTGCTAATACCTGAATAAGAAGGCCCCTAACCAACTTTAAAGGTATTCTTTTATTTTCTGCTGTAGTTGCTTTCTTAGCATGAACACTTCAGCAAACAGGAGGCTGCCTGGAGACCAGGAAACAGTCTCCAGGGAGCCATCACTGATTCCTAGGCTCAGTCCATTTGTTCAGTCACTCTGTGGCTAAGTGCGCTGCTCCATCTACATTCCTACACTGTGTGCCGCTCGACGGACAGGCACGGAACCAAGCGGAGGGATACGCAAATTTGTCACTCCACTTTGCACAATGCCAAGGCCATCCAGACCTTGGCTGTCTTTAGTAAAAACTTGCTGACCTCTGCAGTGTGGTTCTGGGGCTTCCACCTCCTCGTCTGAAGCCTGAGGTGTGGGAATGATGCCTGCCTGCTGAAATGCTGTTAACTCCAGATGAACTTCCCAGACTTGAGCATAACTTAGCATTGTTAGAATTCAGAACATGGATGCTAATTGTTCTTGCTGAGAAGGTGCATTTTCTCAGTAGTATGCACTTATGTAGCTAAGAAAACAATTAGAAAGCCATTCAGAATTTTTAGATTACAGTCTGCAAATTGACTCATCATAATCACCAATGACTAACTTATAAAGATCTACCCAGAGAAATGAATTTGAGGCTTATTTGATGATAAGTCTTACAGAAAAGAGAACGGTAATTTCCCACAGGAGAATCTGGTATTTCATCATGGGCATCACTGCTAAGTTAATTACACTGCTAATGTTTTCTGAAGAGACAATTAGCATACGTAAATCATGAGTGAGATGACAAGTTGCTTAACATTTGTTTCTGTTCATCGGATGCGATCTGGTTGCTGCTTAGCCTCCATGAGTCGGGACGGGGAGAGGAGGACATAAGGAATGAGAGGTTGTTAACTTCCATTTCAGCAAATATAATCAGAACCACTTACTACTAGTTGATAAACATTGATGTTAAATGCAAAATGCATAAGACTCAGCTGTTAGAAATTAACCTCACCAAGAGGTGAGAGAATCTGGGAAACATTAGATTGTCAACTTGGGAAATTCACGTGAAACCTGGGCCATCTCTCCCAAGCAGAGAGGTTGAGATGGTAAGAATGAAGGTGGGTTTTAGTTGAGGCTGCTTTTCATCCTCAGAACTTTGTCTTCCTATGGATATTCTACAACCACATCTATCTTGTGATCAGGACCCAAGGCTCAGGACAGCACAGTTAAGACTACAGTTCCTCTCTGGTGTTTTAGAATGGCCACAGCTTCCTCATGTGTAACACCTTCCAGAGTCTCACCATTAACAGCTAAAATCTGATCACCTCGCTTCAATCGGCCATCATCTGCGGCTGCTCCCTGCAAACAAGAAACATTCCAGTTTAATCTAGGATGATGCAATTAATATTCAAATAATATTAATATTATGGTGTGCATATTAAAAGAAAAACTTTTAAAACTACCAATTAAAGTTGTTTCTAGGTAATATTTTTAAATTAAGAAAACTAAGAAAAATGTAGGATATGTTATTTGAATAATGGTTGAATAGTAATCATAATTATGCACTGTTTACATAACATACTAGTAGAAATGTCCTGACGTTCACATTTCTTTTAATACCAGTAGGACCTTATTTCAATATTCAGTACTGAATGGAATTTGAATGTCATATCATGTCACATTCATGAATATGTAGCATACAAAGGCAGAACTGAATCTGGTATTAGTTTTATCCTCTAAATGGGTGAATTTTATGGTATGTGAACATATCTCAATAAAGCTGTTCTATATACATATATATATATAAATATAAAAATACACAGAAGTGGAGCATTTCTAAAATTCTGTAATATCATATTCAATAGCTTCAACGTTACCTCTGATCCATCTAAATAGGTTTCTAAATAGGTACTTTCATTACCTATTCAGTCATGCATGGCTCTTCAGAATGGCACAAAGCAAGTGAAACTTGGGCTTTTCTTCCTTCTAAAGCTGAGTATCAAAAACGCCATGATATTACTAGAAATACTTTGGACGAGTAAGGAAATAAAAGACCTAGAAAATGATTCACAGGAAGCTTTCTCCATCTGTTGGAGTAACTGTGAGAACTCCTTGAAAAGTTAGTGCCCAAAGAGTCCTCTAAATGATGTGGAACTACTGGGGAAATTAACCAAGGCCCGTGGGCACCTGGTCGCTGATGGCCTCCTGCAGAAGCTGAGCTAAGAGGCACTAACACTCCAGAGACCTGTGTCCTACAGCATGGAGGTCCTGAGGTGGTGGGTGAATTATCTAGAATTTCAAAGCCGTGAAAAGGGTGGAATTCCTGTAAAGAGATGTAATAAAGAATATTCAAAACCAGGACTATACTGGGGGGAAAATACCAGATTAAATAATTTGCAGCTTTATTCAAAATTTTCTTTTAAGGAAGTGTGTTAACTGCACCGAAGACAGGATTAAACATGTAATGCTAATGGATAAATCTAACTTGATTTTAATAAATTTTACATGCTGAGATTTAAGCGTTCCAGTTAACCTCAGATACCTGTGTAATTAGTTCTTTAAAAAGCACATTAAGCTCTTCAAGTTTTCATTTTCACTAATGCAAAAAGAGGTCGATTTTTCAGCTTTCTAGGATGTGTACGCTATTTCGGGTACTGCCGTGCTTACCTGATAATTACACTGACCTGAATCTCCTCTCCTACGTTATTAATGTGGCATCTGTAGACTAAACAAGGGAAGGAAGAAATAAATGGCTCACAGACAGACCTCCATCTAGCTTGGAAACGTGGCCTTACCCACTTGCTGTGTCCTAGTTTGGTCACTTCGCCTTCCCTATGCTGTAAAATAGGCTCTATTATCTATCTTTCGCCCTGTTCTAAGGATTAAGCGTACAGCACACGGTATTTACTCAATCATGGTGGTAGTATAATAAAATGAAACGAATGATGATCAAACTCGTGTTTTCAGATTTCACAGGCTCCAGAAAACTGCTCCCTCAATTTTCAGGGCTGTCGAAGTCCTTAGGCCAATCTATTGTTGGCTTATGGTAAAATTCGGCTGCTGAAGGGACTAAGATCTAAAGTTGGCTTTGATTCTGAAGTTTCCAACCAAACACCTGAAAGAAAATGGAAGGCCCTGCCGGCCAGTTAATCAGACTGATTAAGCCTCGCAAATCCTACACGCCCTAAGTGTCTGTGACGCTTCCTACTTCTGGAGGGGAAGAAAAGACCTGGATGGGCCAAAATAATTTCTTAGTTGAGCAAGAGAACTGTTAAAAGATGCTTAGGACACCAAAAAGTTCACATAATAATCCACACCCTGGGTCCAGCCTGTAGACATCTGAGATCCAGAAACCTGAATCAGAGATAAACATTTTAAAGAATGTATGTTCAGTGTTTTTTTTTTAAAAAAAAGGAAAACATATAGCTGTAGTTCCTAGATCAAAACTCCTATGGGGGGAATCTTTAGCTTAGTGGGGGCTCACTTTGCAGCCATTCCACTGTCATTATCTCCATAGCTGGCTCTTTTAAATGCAAAGTATAACAGTCCTCCCAAAGAATCATTATCACAGCTACTTATGGTGTTATCCTAGGAAAAGGGAGGGTCTGTAGGTGGTTTATCCACCTTGGGAATTATCAGACTGGGGCAGCACTGTCATCCAGAATGTTTCTGATCTGCCTTTCCTTTCCCTGTTCATCCAACATCAGGTCAACAGATGTGTGTATGGGAATAACATGCCCCCTTGACAGGCATCCTAGCAAGATGGAAACAGGCGTGTAAATCTGTAGCTGCTTGGGCTTCCCTGGTGGCACAGTGGTTGAGAGTCCACCTGCCGATGCGGGTGACATGGGTTCGTGCCCCGGTCTGGGAAGATCCCACATGCCGTGGAGCGGCTGGGCCCATGAGCCATGGCCGCTGAGCCTGTGCGTCTGGAGCCTGTGCTCCGCAACGGGAGAGGCCACAACAGTGAGAGGCCCGCGTACCGCAAAAAAAAAAAAAAAAAAAAAAAAAATCTGTAGCTGCCTAATGTGTTCCAAAAGCAAACACCAAATGACTTGAGGCTTATGTCAGGTCACGGTTACACCCAATTAACAGGTGATAAGTTCTGCATAGGTAAAAGCAAACTTATATATAGTGTATAGTACAGCCTTCTGGAAAGAGAAAGAATCTGTCTTATTTCTTCTGTGGAAGGCCTTTATTTCTTTAGGAAAATAAAGCACTAGGAGCCAATTGGATCAATTAATAAACAAATGATTGTGATAAAAGCAATGAAGAATAAAGTTGTAGTATCAAAACTAAATACTTTCAGAGATCTTAAAAGTTTATAACAAATTTAAATTCCAACTCTAATAATGAAATTAAAAACTTATCTAAGAGCTATCTAGTGGCAGCAGTAGAAACCTACACTATGACCTGTGTATTAAGTAGGATGAATTGGACTACTTAATTCTTGAAAGATACCGTTATCCACCCTTTTTTTTTTCTTTTTATAAATTTATTTATTTAATTTTTGGCTGCATTGGGTCTTCGTTGCTGTGCGTGGGCTTTCCTCTAGTTGCGGCGAGCAGGGGCTACTCTTCATTGCAGTGCACAGGCTCTCACTGCGGTGGCTTCTCTTGTTGTGGAGCATAGGCTCTAGGCGTACGGGCTTCAGTGGTTGTGGCATGCGGGCTTAGTTGCTCTGCAGCATGTGGGATCTTCCCATACCAGGGCTCGAACCCATGTCCCCTGCATTGGCAGGCGGATTCTTAACCACTGCACTGCCAGGGAAGTCCCCTGTTATCCAGTCTTTGTCTAACTCACTGGGTTAATCCTGCAAGTACTTGGCAGACTACTGGAAGAGAGAAACCACCTTCAGCTAAAGCATCCTGATGTTAGGCAGCCATTAATGCTGCACTGATCCCAGGCTTGTACAAAGCTTTATGCCATGGCCCTCTGCAATATCTTAAAGTAGAAAGCTAAATCTTTGTTCTCGCAAGAACAATACTTCCAAGGCCAAAGAGCTCTTGCAGACAGAATGCCATATTCCTTACACTGGTTGTTGAAAGAAGACACTCTTTAAAATCTGTTAGCATCTACTTTTGTAAAAGGGTCTAAAGAATACTACACTTCTTGTGACTCCACTTTTATAAAAGAACACTTCTTGCACTACTGTGGTGTGGGAATTTCCTGTAAGATGAAAATGAAACAAGCATACATGCACACATTCAGGTATCACCCAAAGTAAAGCAAAGCAAAACACGCAAAAAATCTCACCTAAGTTTTATTAAAAAAAGAAAAAAAGTACAGTAAAAAGGAAAAAAATACCTTTGCAAATATAGTCTTGACATAAATTGGCAGGTCTCCATGGGGACTTCCATAACCCCCTACAATACTAAACCCCAATCCTTCAGAGCCTTTCTCCAAAGTAATAATCTTAGGTGGAGGTGTTCTGAAAACACAATGCACGCTGTTTAATTCAAGAATAGATATTGAGAGGGAATTTCATTTTAATGGAAGAACACAGATTTGAGAGAGACTTTCATACTGCGAAATGATGATGGTCAGTGTATCAAATCAAACTGTCAGAAAGCAATCTAGAAACTTATTTTTGAATTTCCTATATCATGCCAATATTTTTGATGTTGTAGAGGTTTCTCTTTCATAAAACCCACTGTTTTTTAACTGAAAATAAAGTCATGATGCTGAAGTTGTCAAAGCACTCTTTTTTTTGCTTAGTTTTTAACTTTTTAACTTACTGTCTAAAGCTGAACGGAACTGTCTTTACATCTTTGAAGTGCATGCATGGAGATGGAGAGGCAGGGTATCACTTGAGCTTGGTGTACACCGCAGTCCACAGGTGGACCTCTGAACAAGACAGGTGATGGCAGCCCTAGAGCTCAGTAATGGCTGCTGTTATTCTGCCTGAATATCCTCACTGCACCTGATGCCCACTCCCACTGAGTGTGGGAACTCATTCTTCAAAACCCACCTCCAATCTCCAATGCGATGGTTTCCTGACTCCCTTGGAAGCATTCACCCCTACCTTCTCTGTTCTTGGTCCAGATTTCCATACAGCACTTGTCATACTGTATCATGATTTCTTAACCATCTTTCTCCTCTACCAGATTATCAACTCCTTAAGCCTCCGCCCTCTGGGCATTCCCAGCACCAAGCGCTGTGCCTATCACACCCTCAGAATCACGACTACGTAAGTGAGAACTGAAATCCAGGAGAGAAGAGAGAAACCAAGGTGAAGCAAAATGGATAAAGACAATTTGTTTCAAACGTATAATTTAGATTTTCAAAGCTTTGTCCAGTGTGGAAGTCATCTCTCTCAGAAACAACATGGGTAAAAGTTAAATTACACGTGTGGGCTCAAGGAGTTAAAGCTAAGCTTAACTAACGCCAATTTCTTATTCCCATACGTGGCTGTCCAAAGGGTAAAAACCTAAAGGAACTCTGGTACCTGGGCCCTGTCGTCTTATCTGCAGGAGGTTTATATGCGTATCCTGGCAGGGCCACTTGTTTTGCAGCAGCGTGCAGGTCCGAGAGGCAGAGCCACCTGATATAAATGCAGCCATTCGTGTACTCAGAGAAATTTGCAAACCTGGGATATGAGCAACCTTTGAATATGCTGTTCTGTCTGACTAGAATATTCTTGCCTCTCATCCTCCTCGATTTTGCCTGGCTTATTTTAAGCTTGATTTTCAGCTGCTTCCCACTGATACCAGTTGTTTGCGATGCACTTGCTGGTTGTTTACAGCAGGCATCCATAGTAATTGCTGAACGTCTATACCATATATATTATTACCTGTTTTAAATGCCACTCCTGTTTTTTCCAGTTCTTTAAAAACTCAGGTTAAGCATTAGTGCCTCCGAGTACCCTCCCTAGCTGAGTTATGCCTCTCTTCCATGGCTTCACAGGACTCTGTGCTTGCTTCTCTCTCTCACTGAACTAAGCTCTCCAACACTTACTAACTCTTTTATAACCGTGGATTTATGGGTCTGTTTTTCCAATCCTCTGGCAGTTCTATGAGGACTGGGGCAATGCCTTCACCTACGTTTCTAAGTTTGAGTCCTCAGGACCCAGCACTTGTAGTGTCTAGCCTTAGAAAGGCACTCAATAAATATCTGCTGAAATAATGAAGTATTTATCCCCTGTGGCTGAATGGTAGTGACGTCATGAATAAGGCTCTACGTTTCATCAGTTTGCGGCCTTTTATAAGCACTCTCAGTAATAGGCCACTGGCTAGACATGAACTTGATTCATGTCTCCTCTTTCAAACACAGCCAGCCCTATTTCCAAGGATATTGAAATGGGAGCCTAGATGTCCAAAGCCATTGTTTTAGAGTTAGCCCCTGGGGGCCACCAAATCATTAGAGACCATCATAATTGTACCTATTCACAATTAGAGTCTGTTTTCTCCGGGAGAGGGAGGAATGCAGCTTCACTCCTCCACTGGCAGCATTAGATGGAGTTTACCTCCATTTATCTCACACTTCCAGTTAGTTTTAATTTACTTTCGCTTAGAAGACTAGTAAAAAAAAAAAAAAAAAAAAAAAAAAAAAAAAAAAAAAAAAAAAAAAAAAAAAAAAAAAAAAAAAAAAAAAAATCTCCAAATGTTAACAGTGGTCAGATTATAAGTGATTTTTAAATTCTTTTATCCTAGTAGTTCCCAACCTGCCAGGAGCTGTGGAATCATACAGCAAAGGACACAAGATCACAGGGCATCTCGGTAGTTCCATGGACATGTTAAAGGATGCTAAGTGTATACTATTCTTCATATAAGAGTCCTGATTTCTTTTTTTTTTAAATAAATGGCCATTCTAGCCTGAAAATGTTATACTTTCATGTATTTGTCACATTTTAATAGCAAGTGTTCACTAGTTTCATAATGAGGAAAAAGTAAAATGAGCCTAGTTTAATATTCTTTCCTCAAGAAAAACAAACTCAAAGCTGTCATTTACGTTAATGAACAATCAGGAAAAAGTTGGGAACGGCTGTGACCATCAGATCGTTCCAATAAAGGGTTCGGATCAGCCAACAAACATTTATTGAGCACCAGCTAGTGACCAGGCACTGGTAGAGTTGAGACGAATAACTTTGGGCAGCATTTCTCAAAGTGTGGGTCCTCAGCTTATCTGCAGCAACACTGTCCTGGAGAACCCACCCTAGACCACCTACTCAGAATCTCTGAGAATGGGCCAGAGGAATTAGCATATTTAAATATGCTGTTTGGGTTATTCTTATGGACATTCTAGTTTGAGAAACACTGCTTTAACGAGCAGCTTTAACTGCAGTGACAGGTTTTAGTAAAAAATGCCAGCAAGTATGACAAGAAGATTTAACCTCGGAGCAAGAGTTTAGCTTAGAAAACTGAGGAAACCTGGTTCCTCGCGTAATGAAGCATCTGGGCTATAAATCTGAGGATTCTGAGGGGAGAGGGCACAGGCACCCGTTCCAGCGGCCAGGTGCAGTGTGTGTAGGCCCTGTGGTGACAGTCTGTGAAGAACTCACGTGGTGGAGCAAAGCCTTGTGAGAAGTAGGGCAACCCTGTTACTTTCTTGGAGATTCCCTAGGAGTCAGAAAGGGTAACGTGTACTTTCCCACTCCTCTCCTTTAGGGAGCACACTCTACAATCTGGAAAAGGTCTAACTGAGCTTTGCCCACACCCATAAGAGGCACTCTGCATCTAGAATACTCACTCTGTGTCCTCCAGATGGTGCTTGGCAGCGGGTGAACCAAGGGGGTAGCCCGTAGACATGTTCTCAAGCTGAGTTGCTATGCCACTTATATTGGTATCTTCCACAACCTGGGCGGGGGAGGGGGGGGAGTCAGAACAAGACAATCCATTATAAGTCAGGGAAGAATTAGAGAAACCATACTCTATCCAATGGTCAGTTCTCAGTCTTATTTAATCTATCTACAGAATTTGACACAATGGATTATTCTTTCTCAAACTATTTTCTTCATTTGGCTTCTATGACACTACACTTTACTAGTTTCCTTTCCACCTTCTGGCTATTTTTTTCATAGCTCCCCAAACTCTATCAGAGTGCCACAGGGCTCACTCCTGGAGCTTCTTATCTTTCCATCTCAACATCCCCTTAGTTATCTCACCTCATACCCCTTTATGAATTTAAATATCATCTATGTAATGATAATTCCTGAATCTGTCTCTCCAGCACCACCTCTTACTTAACTCCAGACCTACACACCCGATCACCAATTTGACATCCCTAATGGGATGCCCAGCAGGTATCTCAAATCTAACCTGTCCAGCACTGAGCCACTCCCCCGCCCCTCCTCTGTTCCCCGGCCTTCCTCATCTCAGGTAATGCAACTTCATTCTTCCAGTCTCAGCAAACACCTTGGTGTCATCCTTGACGACTCTTCCTTTCACAACCCACTTTCAATCCTCAAAAAATTCAACTGGTCTTTCTATAAAATCATCTCTTTTTCTCTCTCTCTCTCTTTTTTTTTTTCCTATTCTTTGGCCGTGCCACGTGGCATGTAGGATCTTAGTTCCCCGACCAGGGATCAAAACCATGCCCCCTGCAGTGGAAGCGAGGTGTCTTAACCACTGGACCTCCAGGGAAGTCTCTGTAAAATCATCTCTTGCTTGGAGTTTTACAAAAGCCTCCTTACTCATCTCCCTGCTTCAGCCCCTCCCTCACTCAGTCTATAGCAGCTAGAATGTTCCTGTTAAAATACAGAAGATTATTTCAGTCCTCTGCTTAAAACCGTCCAAGGGAAATCTGGAGCCCCCTGGATCACATGCTGAAGTTCTTAGATGGTCTATAAGGTCATCTGTAGGTGATCTGCCCAGTTATGTCTCCACTCTCATCTCCAAACATTCTCCCCTGTGTTCACCCTGCTCCAGCCATGCTGGCCCCTGGCTGTTCCTCTAACATGCCAGAGACATCTCCACCTTGGCGCTTTGCGAGTGCTGTGCATTCTGCCTGGAATGCTCTGCCCCCAGCTCCTTCACTTCCCTCAGGTCTTTACACTGAACTCACCCTCCTTGGCCACCCTAACTAAAAGTCCCACACCAACACCCCAGCCCAACATTTTATATTGTTTACAAAGAAACAACAGGCCCCTAGCACAAAAACAGATGCATAGATCAATGGAACAGAATAGAGAAACTAGAAATAACCCACACACTTATGGTCAATTAATCTATGACAAAGGAGGCAAAAATATGCAATGGGGAAGAGGCAGTGTCTTCAATAAGTGATGCTGTGAAAACTGGACAGACAAGAACATGTAAAAGAATGAAAGTAGAACATTTTTTTCACACCACATACAAAAATAAACTCAGAATGAATTAAAGACCTAAATGCAAGACTGGAAACCATAAAACTCCTAGAGGAAAACATAGGCAGTAAACTCATTGACATAAGTCTTAGCAATATTTTTTTGAATCTGTCTCCTCAGGCAAGGGAAACAAAAAGCAAAAATAAACAAATGGGAAGTAATTAAAAAGGTTTTGCACAGTGAAGGAAACCATCAAGAAAATGAAAAAACAACCTACTGAATGAGGTATCACCTCACACCTGTCAGACTGGCTATTGTTAAAAAAGATCACAAATAATAAATTGGTAAGGATGTGGAGAAAAGGGAACCCTAGTACGCTGCTGGTTGGAATGTAAATTGGTGCAGCCGTAATGGAAAACAGTACAGAACAACACAAGTGTCCATCAACAGATGAATGGATAAAGAAGGTGTGGTGTCTATATACAATGGAATATTACTCAGCCATAAAAAGAAATTTGCCATTTGCAACAACATGGATGGAACTGGAGGGAATTATGCTGAGTGGAGTAAGTCAGACAGAAAAACAAATACTGTATGTTTTCACTTACATGTGGAATCTAAAAAATAAAGTAAATGAATGGATATAACAAAACAGAAACAGACTCACAGATACAGAGAACAAACTAGTGGTCATCAGTGGGGAGAGGGAAGGGGGAAGGGGCAAGATAGGGGAAGGGGATTAAGAAGCACACTCTACTGGGTACAAAATAAATAAGATACAAGGATGTAATGTACAGCACAGGGAATATAGCTAATATTATATAATAACTTTAAATGGAGTATAATCCATAAAAATATTGAAGTACTATGTTGTACACCTGAATCTAATATAACATTGTAAATCAACTATACTTTAGATAAAAAATTAATTAAGAAAAGAAACAGGCCCAAAATAGTCATGTATGCTAAGCCCTACTAGGAATTAACACCTAACCTAACTGCAGTTTCAGCCCCTCCTTGGAGTGGAATTCTAAAACAATCAGTCTGGAGTTTCCTCATCAACACCAGTGAGGGGATCTGCTTGATAAGACCCCCTGCCTTCCCAGGAAGGGAAGGTGACCTTGCCTGAAATAATCCACTTTTTAACTTCCTTGTCCCACCCTCCGTCTCCCTATAAAAGCCTTCTATATTGTATAGATCCTTGGAGTTCCATTCTACTTGTTAAACGGGATGCTGCCCAATTCATGAATCATTGGATAAAGCCAAATAGATCTTCAAACTCGCTCAACTGCATTTTGTTTAACAACATCTTCCTTCCCCGCTTTATATTTCCTTCTTACTACCATTACTATCTAATTAATTATATCTTGCCTTATTTATTGTCTTACCACTTCATATTAGAATGTGAGGGCATGAAGTTTGTCTGTTTTATTCACTAATGTATGCCCCTTATGTAGAACATGTCTAGCATATAGTAGGTGTTCAATTAATATTTGGTGAATGAAAGAAAGAATATCTCTTACTTCCTATGATTTGCCTTTTACATGGTCCCAAACGAAAGTATAGGACAACCAACATTCACTTATATTTCTTTCTTTCTTTTTTTTTTTTTTTCTTGCGTTATGCGGGCCTCTCACTGTTGTGGCCTCTCCCATTTGCGGAGCACAGGCTCCGGACGCGCAGGCTCAGTGGCCATGGCTCACGGGCCCAGCCGCTCCGCGGCATGTGGGATCTTCCCGAAACGGGGCACGAACCCGCGTCTCCTGCATCGGCAGGCGGACTCTCAAGCACTGCGCCACCAGGGAAGCCCTTATATTTCTATTCTTCAAAAACATTCCAAAGAATTAAGAAGAAATATGGTATAGCTCTGACAGAATGAAGATCTGAAGTTCAGTTTTTGCCACTTAAATGATACTGTGGCTTGAGTTTTAGTTTCTTCATCTGTTAAAGTGGAATCATAAATAGCCCGCGTCTCCTGCATCGGCAGGCGGACTCTCAAGCACTGCGCCACCAGGGAAGCCCTTATATTTCTATTCTTCAAAAACATTCCAAAGAATTAAGAAGAAATATGGTATAGCTCTGACAGAATGAAGATCTGAAGTTCAGTTTTTGCCACTTAAATGATACTGTGGCTTGAGTTTTAGTTTCTTCATCTGTTAAAGTGGAATCATAAATAGCCTGCCTTGTCTGCTTATCCTGGAGTTGTCTTCCACCTCAACTAGTTATCAGAGATTCTTTCTCAAGAACTCCTGGTCTACCCCTGCTTCTGATTAACAGTTCTTCCAGATAAGAGCACTCAAGTACAGAGCGAAGGGACTTAGCTTGACAACGATGTTAAGACCTTGATTTGACTGCAGTTTCAGAATAAGCCAACAGAGGGCATAACTACCTAAATGGTTAAGCTTAGTTGCATCTATTAATAGAGTATTTAGACAAGGAAAGCCACAGGCTGGCCCTGGCCCCAGCCCTGGCTGGATCAGAACACATTTTGGGTGAAGCATCCTATTCTGGGGGAAAACATTTCTATCCATAAGTTTTAGCATCTTCTGGAAATACTATAATATAACGAATGAACAAATCGGGGGACTATTTAGGATAAACAGCAAAACAGAAAATGATAGACTCTCCTCTGCACTTACCACCAGTTTCTGGTTTTTTTCCCTCTCCTCCCCAGCAAATGTAGTGGAAGAGTTGTCTCTGCATGTGACCTGTGTAATCCTACCTACTCTCAGCCTACATCATTTGCGAAACCCCACTCCATTCCAGTTTCCATCCCTGTTGCCAGACCCAGACTTCCATCACCCACTCTCCAGCTTTCCTCCTGCTGCTTCCATCTCTGCTATTCTACTCACCCCTCGTGGCTCGGTCCTGGCCCACTTCCCACTTGCACACTCAGGGTCTAGGTCACAGCATACACATTCCCACAGCTTTCAATTCCAACAACGTGCTAACAATTCCCAGCTTAGTCCATTATATCCAATTGCCAACTCGACATCTGCATTTTAATCTCTCAAAGCCTAATTAACAAAACCGAATCCAAATTCTTGATCCAACAACCAAATCCCTTCTATTCATTTTCCCTCTAGATGTCCTCTTCTTAATAGATGGCACCTCCAGCTGCCTAATTAGAAACCCACTAGGTATAATATTGAAAATACCCGATTGTTGGCTGGTGACTGTCCAGCTGGAAAGGTACTAGAATGCATACCTAACTGATGCTTACTCTGAATAATCTACCACCAAATCCTCTGGACTCTACCTCCAATATACTTCTCAAGTTTGTTTCCTTTTCATCTCTCTGGTGACTATCCTAATTCAATCAATCATCATCAGCTGCCTTTTACCTGGAATCCCCACTCACCCTCTTCTAATCTCTCTTCCACACAACAGCCAGTTATCTTTTTAAATATAAAATGGATAATGGCCCTCCCCTGCTTAAAACCTTTCAGTGGTCTTTCTTTGTACCTGGAATAAAATTAAGACTCCCTAACTATACACACAAATGTCCTTCCTAGCCTACCCCTCTAATCCCATCTATGTCTTCCACTCCAC